GAGGGCTTTGGGGCGGGGCAGAGAAGCACGCCTGTGGCCTATGACTTTTCCTGTCCTCTTTTGAAAAAGGAGCCGTCTAATCACGGCCGGCTTCCAGCCTGAGCAGAACAAGAAGAGGCCGCCATAGCCCACTTCAGGCCTGAGAGCTCCTTAATCTCCAACTGTTTAAATTCTTCACACTTGCGCTATGTAAACGGCAGTCTTGGCTTTCTAATGACACTAACCCACACTTAGCTTGGGGGGCTGGAAAGAGGGCTGTCTCTCCAGTGGAGGCCCGGGAGAGTTAATTACGTTTCCTGGGCTCCAACGGGATGACAACAGTCCAGGGGCGTTTTTTTCTAGAATCCCAACCTGGCACCCACGTCACTCCGCTCCCGCTCCCATGCCACTTCGATGGGAGACAAAGAGGGTGGTCAAGAGATTGTGCCGGGGGGGGGTCAGCGCCCTGTGAATCGAGGGCTTTCAGCAGAAACCCACATCCTGTCCTCCAGAAGGTCAGGCGCGCTGGAGCAACAGAGCCTGTCTTTCAAGAATGGCCTTCGCTGATCTTGGGGGGGGGGGTTTGAAACTGGCTCCCTTCCACTTGCCTGCTGCACCATTTCCTTTTTAGGCTCGAAAATCCAGGCGGGCAGAAACTGGAGTGTCCACAGCCGTCCCCAAGGGGTGGTTTGAGAGGGCCAAGCAGTTGCCTGATTGGCCACACCGTGCCTTGAGGACTAGGAGTGCTGGCTTTGTGCCAGGCCCTTAGAGGGAGCAGGCGGCAGCCTCCAAATTGCCAGGCTGTTTAGCAGTACCTAAACCGCCCCTGCTTTGAGAAAAGTGCCCCTCTTTGGTTTGGTTCTTCTCCCGTTGCGAGAGAAGCCGGTCTGGAAGTTTTGGTGTCCTTATAGGAGAGCCATGTTAGTGTGTGTACCAACTAACGTTATATGAAAGACAAAAGAGCTTTTGCGAGGTGTACCAGGGCCGATGCAAACATTGGCACGAACATTAAGAGTCGCATCAACTGCCAGAATGTTGGAAAAGCATCGGATTGCATCTTTTCAGACATAACACATTGGACTGAGCTTGTGTCAGACTCCTTCGGACTTCTATACAGGCAGTTCTCAACTTACAACGTTTTGCTGAGGGACTGTTTAAAGTCACAACGGCACAGGAAAAAAGTGACTTACGAGCGTTTTTCACATTTACAACTGTTGCGGCATCCCCATGGTCAAATTTCGGATGCTCAGCAACTGGCACATGTTTACGATGGTTGCAGTGTCCCGCAGTCACGTTATCACCTTTTGCAACTTCTGATTAGGAAAATCAACAGGGAAGCTGAATTCACTTACAACCGTGTTGCTAATTTAACAACAGTAGTGATATTCTTAATAACTCCGGCAAGAAAAGTCATAAAACGGGGCCAAACTCACTTAACCACTGTCTAGTTTAGCAGCAGAAATTTTGGACTCACATGGCTGACCCACTTTACAACATTTCTTGTGGCTATTGAATGAACATTGTTGTCATTAAGTGAATACCATGGTCATTAAAGAAACCAATAGTTCGCTATGGATGTGATTTTGCCCAAAAATGGAAGTGCTGGTTTTCGGGAAAACCCTGGTAAAACGTAGTCGTGTGACTGCAGGATGCTGCAAAGAGCAGTCAATGCATCTGTGTGGCCAAGCACCCCAAGTTCTGTCATGTGACTCTTAAGGGGGGGATCCATTGTTGGAACTTTCTCCAGGTTGTAAGTTCCCTATTTCAGGTCAGTGGTAATTCTGAAGAGTCACTGAGTTGAGAACAATCTCTACCTTAGGAGAGACTGCTGGAGAATTCTGGACGTTGAAGTTCACACATCTACAAGTGGCCCAGGTCAAAAAATCTGCCTTAGGATACCTGACTGGTTTCACATCTGCGTGTTCCGATCCCAATCCCTAGAGCAGGGATTCCCAACACCCGGTGCATGGACCAGTACCGGGCCGTGGCATGCCAGCAACCGGTCCATGCAAACAAGCAAAGCCCCATCCACTGGATGCAGGCAGCACACAAAACCACATGCTCTCCAGGCCGCAGAAAAACCTCTCTCCATGGAACCGGTCCCTGGTGCCCAAAAAGTTGGGGATCTTTGCCCTGGAGGGCTCCTCTTCCCAGGAAAATGATGCAGTTCTCTCTCACTTCAGGTAGGGCCTGAAAAAGACCGTAGGGTACCAGGCGGATCATGACATCCCGGTTTCTTCCATGGAAGACTTGAGAAAGGGGAATCCCATACGACTGGCTCCAGGCTCCAGCTTGGCTGGCTCATCGCTCCAGCAACCCGGAGCTCTTTTCTCTAGTAGCAAAGCCACAAACCTCAGGCTTTACTGTCGGGCAACATCTGTGCACCATATGAGCTGTGGGGGGGGGGGTCTGTGGTTTAATGTGAGTGGCAAGTAGTGGTGGAGACTGCTTTCTTTTTTTCTTCAGAAGACAATCAGGTCTTGTAGGCATCCAGTGGCATCATCTCTCCCATCTTCGGCAACGGACTTGGCCTGCCTTACTGTGTGCTCCCTGCATTTGACTAATGAGAATCTTCCCTGAGTAGCTGCCAGTCAGTGCCTGTCAGCCTTCCATGCTAGACCAAACTAGGAAAACAAAGACACTCAAGCGAATGCTACTGTCCTGGTTCCGTTAGATGAGACCAGTAGAAATAAGAACTCTGAGGCCAGGGGTAGGCAACCTTGGCTCTTTTATGACTCGTGGACTCCCAGAATTCCTGGGCCAGCATGGCTCAGCTTGGAAACCTCTCCCTTTCCCCTCAGCATGGCTGGCTCAGGAATTCTGGGAGTTGAAGTCCACGAGTCATGAAGGGGCCAAGGTTGCCTACCCCTATCTGAGGCAATTGCTTTCCTCAAAGAACACTTTTAATGGCTACATAATGTCAGCATGAACAAAGGTGAAACCAAGACTGAAAGTTATCATCCCCCCCAAAAGGTTACAAAGTAAAAGTTGAACCCACCCATTTGTGTGTCATACATCACAATCCCCAATTAACACTTTTGGCCGGGCTTCCTAAGGGTAGCTCCAGCCTGCCAAACAGTTAAGCTGCTTGACCCTGGTTCCCACAAGAAATGTATTGTTTTGACTAAAGAATGCATCTTCCACCCTCCACCCATTGCTGTGGCAGCCGAAAAACGAAGAAACATGGCTGTATTCAGAGTGTTTGAAGGTCTGACACTTTTATTATAAGGTTACAGTACAAGCGGTGTGCCCTTGTTTCAATGACAAATTGAGTTGCTGCCCCAGAAAAGGTGGAGTTGCATTTGTGTGTCTTGTAAGCTGCAGCCTCTCAACTTCTCTGGGAGTATGAAATCTCAGCATTTTCTGCCCAAAGATGCTGAACTCTGTTTGACAATGAGACAGGAGAGCCTTGCTGTCAGACAGGCAGCCTGAATCACAGGCTTGTATAAAAGCAAACACAAATTGGTAGACACAACAAGAGAAGAGCCAAGAGGTGACTAGCCTGCAAGCCACAACTTGAACAGACTTCTTGGTTCACACATTGTTTGAAACCTCATTTTCCTGCGCTGTTTTTAACCGGAAGACTACGGTGTCCGCGTGCAGTATTGCATCTACTCTTTCTTTGTCCATGCTCAGCCAGGGGTGCTTGGACTGTTTTGAGGTATTTGGGGGATGCAGAAAAATGTGATGTTGGTGGCTGAATTTTGCTACAGGAATTTAAAGTCCACTTATTTCCTCAGATGATTGTACAATTTCGCCTTCTCTTCCTTCCTTCCCTGTTGTCATTTTCAATGGTTGTTGAACCCATCCCCAGCCGAAAGAAGAGTGATACCATTCTAACTGCCTTTATTCACAGTTCATCTCTCCTTTCCTTTGACTTGCCCATACCTCCCTTCTATCTGTTCTTCACTCTTGATTTGAAGTACCACGCTGGATGCAAACTCAGCTTCTGAGATATGGGACTTACACGTGAAAGTCAAGCTATCCTCTTACACAGAGATGGGCAACTAGGCCCCTTTTACAACCTGTGGACTTCAATTCCCAGATTTCCAATATTTGAGGGGCTGCCATAAACCTATTCTCTAAAGCATCAGAAAACAAGAGAAGGAACAATGAATGGAAACTAATCAAGGAGAGAAGCAACCTAGAGCTAAGGAGAAATTTCCTGACAGTGAGAACAATTAATCAAGGCTAGCCTGAAACTGGGTGCTTCATCACTGGAGGTTTTTAAGAAGAGATTGGACAGCATTTGTCAGATGTAATACACAGTCTCCTTCTCAAGCAGAAGTTGGACCAGAAGAGGTCCAGGATCCCTTCCAACTCTATTATTCTGGCTCAGGAATTCTGGGAGTTGAAGTTCACTGGTCGTGAAGGGGCCATAGTTGCCCACCTCTGCTCTTGCACACAGCAAACTAATATGTCAAGAAGACGAGATTTGACCTAAACATCTCCTTGAGATCTACTTTTTTGTTTATTGTAGACATTGTAGGTGTGCGGTTTTAGTTTATGGTGGCCAAAAATCAGAAAAGGTCTAGTAGGATCATTCCCAAGTAACAAGCTTTATTAAAGGGCATAAACATTTCTTTGCAAGCTACATTCACTTCATCAGAGTATCATGAACTACATGAATATTAACAGTATTGTGAAATATAAGAATATTAAGTTTTCCAGCTAACAGATTTTATTAAAAGGCATCCAGGAATTGGGACAGCTAAATGAGAAGGACCAATGCAGAGTAGATTAGAGTAGATCACAGTGGCTTAACACTAATTCAGTGTTAGACTTTGAATCTGTAGGCAATGCTACATATTAAGGTCCATCCCACATTATTTGGTTGGAAGCATATCCTAAAGCAGATGTGTCAGAAAGAGGTGACTGAGATTTGGGGAAGAATTATTCCTGTTTTAGTGGCAGAGAGGGGGTCAAATGGGATTTGGGGACTGCTTGCCCCTGGATATTTGAAGAACCTGTTTTGTTTGTGTGCTTCTGGTTGCATCTGTAAGTGTCTCTTTTCTCCACAGCTGCAGCAGCTTTGCGATCTTCTCCCACTCATGAGGCCTGCCTGCTTAAAGCAGGCTCTACAGAAGACCCAGAAGTTTCAGGAGAAGCCAACCAACAACCAGCAGAAGACACTGTCTGCTCTTGACCATGAGGTAAGAACAATGGAGGCAGAGGGAATGTTATAGAGGATTTTGTTGGTGCTGGGTGTAAAGAAGCAATGGAATGACCTGAGGATCCACAATTGAAGAGAACTCTGGGAGTTTTCATACTATCAACTCTGGGAGTTTTCATACTATCAATTTTTGCAGCTAGGCCTCCCACTGCTCTTGCTTTTATAAGATGGCAGAGACAGGACTCCATAACCCGTCATTTGATGGAGGAAGGAGTTGGTAAGATACCCTGCATCAGGGATGAAGGAAGGAAGAGCTGTGGGCAAACAGCAGAAGCTGGGAAAGTAAGCAGAAGCCTTGGATCTTGAAGTGTGGTGGTGAATAACTTCAAGAGAGCTGTATATCCAGCTCCCCTTTCTGAAGAATTACTTGCCTGAGAAACTCTAAGAATAGACCTCATCACTTCCTGGTTAGATAACCCCGTTGTTGATATCAGCTAGGCATTCTGAGTTCCTGGGTTAGGTCTTCTGGTCTCCTCCATTCCTCCTGGCAATTTAGAACTGCTGTTGTCTTCCATGGCTAGGTAACTATTGCTCCTCTTCTTCCTCTTTAAACATACAACTGACAACACATCTGCCTCGCTATATGACTTTCAAATCTTTACCTTCCTAAATGAATGCATGCAGAGGGATTATTGAATCTGTCATTTATACCTCTATAACTGTCTGGTTTGATACAGCAACCAAACAGGACAGGTACAGATACTTAGGACTGCAGAAGAAACAATTACAACAAACCTGCCTTTCATTAAGGACCTGTATACTGCAAGAAACAGCACTGAGTAACTATCTACAGACCCCTTGCATTTAGGACGGGGGTCTTCAAAGTTGGCCCTTTGATGACTTGTGGACTTCAACTCCCAGAATTCCTCAGCCAGGCACGTGTGCTTCATCCCTCTTTGCTCAAGTAATAGTTTGTGCACTCAGAGTGATTTCCCCAATTCTCTATTCCTGGGCCGTTTTCCAGCCCTCCCACCTAGAGCAAAAACAAACTGTCAGAAAGGAGTGATACAACTTGAAAGTCACCAAATACTTGCTCAAAATGGCCGCCCGGTTGTTGCCATACTTATGGCTGCATTCTCAAGTCAGGAGCATCTGCAGGGAAGGCCAAAAACACCCAAATCAACATCAAAGCTGCCTCCTCCTTTATGGGTGGCTTGTATTTAAAAAGGACAGGATTTGAGGCAAGTGCCATCTTTAATTTTATTTTATTTTTTTGACACCACCCCATGCCCCTTTTTGATGTGCATCCACATGAGGTTACTAAAGATTTCATCTTTTGTTTCTGAATCACTCGAGCAGTCAAGAGAAAAGCTGGATTCAGAGGCAGTGGCAACCAGATGGGTGTGTGGGAGGACGCCTGGATAAATAATTTAAAAATAATTTATTAACCTTGTATGCCGCCTGACTCTCAACCATTCTGGGGGCTTCATAACAAAGAAATTACCCTAAAATCAAGAATAGAATAGAATAGAATAGAATAGAATAGAATAGAATAGAATGCAGAATGGAATATGGAATATGGAATATGGAAAATCGAATCGAATCTGAAAGGAGATCTTCTAGTCCAGCCCCCTTTAGAGGAAGGGACTAGGAGTAAACCCACCCTGTTTGACCTGATAGGATGGGTAGATATCCTTAGGGTAAGGAATAGGACTTCTGGAGTCCTGGGAGATGGCATTGTTTAATCAAAGGAACCCAAGCACGCTCACTTTTGTAAGAATTGCAAGCCGCCCAGAGTCATTTACGGAGGTGGGCAGCCATAGAAATTGAGCAAATAAATAAGTAAATCAATCAACTCTGCAGGATCGTGGATGATGGGCAGCCCCTCAAGGAACCCTAACCCTATGCAGTTTCAACTGAGCCTTGAATCACTCCAGGAAGGAAGGAGTAGGGTTAACCTGCGCTGCCTAGTATTAAGCGTTTACTGTGTGCTCATTATATTATCTTGAAAAATTCATTTGTCTTTCCTTCTCCTCCTCGCTCCCTCCATTCCCAAAGCAGAGAGCAACAGAAATTAAAAAAAAAAAAGAGCCATTCAGTCCAGGAATTTATTATCTGACTGATCAGATTAAATGCCCTTTAGGGTGAAAGAGATCTCATTTGTTTCTGCTATCATACCAGTCATTTTTACGCCGAAACAAAACTGTTCCTGTTGAAGGTGCCAAGTCCCTTTTAAAGCACGCTGAGAACCGCTTTTGACAGTTCCCCCCCCCCTTCCCTCCCAGTTTTGTACAGGCCTTTTGTTCTTCTCTTCCCAAACAAGAATAGTTTTCTGCCTTCGCAGAAATTTGGGGCTGTGCAAAATCTCCTGTACTCAGTTGACAAATGTTATTCCTCAACTGTCAATTATTCCATAACTTCATCTCAAAGTAGCTGTAGTTCCAAGCTGCATTTGTAGGAGACAAGCAACTGAAGGTAGAAGGGGAGGAAGAAAGGGATAAGCAGCAGGCCTGACAGCAAGGAAAGGCAGGCTGCGTTGTGGGAGATGGATCTAAAGACAGCTTTACAATCATCTGCAGAAAAGAGAGTCCCTCTCTTTTTCTGCCCAGGCGTAGCTAAAATTCTCCACAATTTGGACTAACATCCCCATCCCACTCCAGCGGTTTCCCATCTGGACTAAAGAAAGAAACCCAAGCTGCAGGTCCACTCTCAGTAAAAAACCACTAGATGACGTGGACTAAAAACATACTATGTCAAGTTGACCTGAACTCATGAACTCCATGTTTTCTTGGCAAGAGTACAGAAATGTATGTTTGCTGGGGCCACCTTCCTGCAAGATCTCCTACAATCAGGGGTTCTCAACCTTGGCAACTTTAAGACTTGTGGACTTCAACTCCCAGAATTCCCCAGCCACAAGTCTTAAAATTGCCAAGGTTGAGAACCCCTGTCCTACATCGAGTCTAAAGCTCTGAGGCTATCTGACGGTTGCCCATCCAAGCTTTAACCAGGTCTGACTGTTTTCAGATTTTTTTTTTTTTGAGATCAAGCAGAATTGGCAGGCTGTCAGTTCAGGCAGTGGTGAAGATTCAAAGGCATATTTACTTATTTATTTATTTAGGGCAGGGATCTCAATGGGTTCTGGAGCTTCTGGTCTAGAAGATTGTCCACATGATGACTTGATTGAAGTGTTAAGACTTCAGCCAAGGAGAACTTGATTTTCAGGTTCCCACTCGATTGTATACGGATCCTTCAGTATACCCTGCCTCATAAGACATTGTTGCTATAAGAATGGAACATGATCTGTTGTCATCTGCCCACATCTGGAGGTTTTTATGCTTCCAAATTACGGTGTTGATCCATCAGTGTTTCTCTAAATTACGATAGTGCCCTCTCTGTCTTTGTGTCCCTCATCACACATGGTAAAGTCAGAGTCAATTACGCAACAATCACGCAAACACAAGCCCTGTAAGGCCCAAGAGAAAGGATGCTTACAGGGCTCACCAAATATGGACAAAAGCTGTGGGAATTTGCTCTCATTGATGAATGGATTTGGAGTACGAGATTTTAGGCACAAAAAGCCTTTGGGGTTACTTATAGCATAAGATATATTGCAGTGTTTCTCAGCCTCAACAACTTTAAGATGTGTGGACATGCAAAGAACAATTGTAGGAATTCAGTACATCATTTAATGAAAAGAAGGACTAGGGGTGACATGATAGCAGTGTTCCAATATCTAAAGGGCTGCCACAAAGAAGGTGTGTGTGTGTCAATCTATTCTCCAAAGCACCTGAAGGAAGGACAAGAAGCAACGGATGGAAACTGATCAAGGAGAGAAGCAACTTAGAACTAAGGAGAAACTTCCTGACAGTGAGAACAATTAACCAGTGGAACAACCTGCCTCCAGAAGCAGTGAATGCTCCAACACTGGAAGTTTTTAAGAAGAGACTGGACAGCCATTTGTCCAAAATGGTATAGGGTTTCCTGCCTGAGCAGGGGGTTGGACTCGATGACCTCCAAGGTCCCTTCCAACTCTGTTATTCTGACTTCAATTCCCGTGTGGGCTGGGGAATTCTGGGAGTTGAAGTCCACACATCTTAAAAGTTGCTGAGGTTGAGAAACACTGTTCCATCGCCTGTAGCCTTACTGCCATTGTGCCTTTCCAATCCGACACCCCTGTGAATTTCTCTTTGGCGCTCCTCTGCGCAGGATCTAAGTTGATTAGGGACTTGGCTTGAGACGCAGCACTGGGGGACGGGAATGAATAGGACAAACAGCTGGGAAGGGGGAGTGTTCCCAGCCCTGGGAAAGGCATTACTTCAAGCCAACCTCTGCAGCAGCCTTGGCATACTTTGAAAGCAATTGAAGAAACAGATCTTCTCAGTCTCAAGTCAACAGCTGTGGACTAGGAACAGCATACTGCAGGTCAACACAGCAGATGTATGATGCTGCTCATCTTGTACACACACACACATACACGAGCTTGCAAAAGTTGTGGGATTGTCTGTGTTATCTGGAGAGAGAGAGAGAGAGAGATTGTAAAAGTGCATTGTTAGATTTGACTTGCAGAAGAGTTGACTCCACAATGGGTATTTGAATTTCAGAAAGGGGGGAGGGATTGATGGTAAATAGACACCTTTGGCTTCAGTGCTGAGTTTTTGTAAAGGGGAGGCTAGAAGGACTTCTCACGCAAGATATGCCTGAGAGCCCAGCCCCACTTGCAGGCTCAGAGGCCCCAAAGGCTATTGCAGAAACCGATTTCCAGAGGGCCAGGATGGAATTTCAATTCCTTTCAGCCTCTTCTTATCACCGGCCAAAGCAGAAAAATAGGCACAAGAGAAAAATAAATCAAAACAGTACAAACATATTACAGGGAGTCCTCGGCTTATGACCACAATTGAGCCCAAAAGTCCTGTTGCTAAGCGAGACATTTCTTAAGTGAATTTTACCCCACTGTACAACTATTCTTGCAAGAGTTGTTAAGTGAATTGCCTCAGTTGTGAAGTTAGTAACATAGTTGTTGCGTGCCTCTGGCTTCCCCAC